AGCCTATTTGTATCTCCATTGACTTGATTGTCCTTAGCTGGGAGTGGTTTTCAGTGTTTAATTGGATCCCCAAATATGCTGTTAATACTGTTGTGACTTTATGAGACTGTTTATCTCAAAAAAAATACAGTCTACAGTCTTGTTTAATTTTTCCTGACACTTAGCAAAAACTAAGATACATGCACAAAGATAGCATATGATACAGCAGTTTGTAGCACTCTCTCTTCAGTACTGGGTATATTCACAATTTTGTTGAAGAAAATGAAAGCTTTTCGACTTTTTAAGTTTAATAAACATGCCAAATAGTAGAAGTTGGGCTTTACAAACCTGATCTTTACATCTTGATCTTTACAAATCTGATCTCTGTTGCGGAGGTTATAGAAGCTACAGATAAATCTTTAAAATAATATAAGAAATACATCTGTATTGTCAATTATATCATCATTTTATTTTAGTATTTGTATTGCAATAGGTCGCGAAGAGTCGGACTCGACTGTGCGACTGAACAACAAAAAAGCATCTAACAAGCACAATTACACTTGATACAGTTCATACTGCAGTTATATACTTTTGAGATTCTCTGTTGTTTGGATGACTGAGGATCTGCTCCATTGTGGGCTTGTGCCTACAAATAAGAGAAAATTGTTTTAAGATGGCAGATTAGTGGCATTTCTCATCATGGCAACTGGTAAAGAATATCAATGCAATTGTAGGCAGAGTAATTCCAGGCTGAATCTATTGAAGTCAGTTGGCTGAGACTGGAGCAACTTTATATAGGACTCTACTGAAAATGTGGTTGTTGCTGGCGTTCCTGGGCTTAGGTGGGCGCTCCCCAACCAACGAGAGCTGGCAGTGAGCCCACTCAGAGTGGTGGCTTCTATGCGTGAAGGAGAGGGGCTGTAGGAAGCAGCTGAAGATGGGGAAGGGGTCACCTCCTTTCCAGCTCCTCTCTACCCCTCCCGGCCTCCCTTCTCAGCTTTCCCCTAGCAGCCTGCTGTCTTCAAACAGCATTTGATCCTGCTCACTTGGGAGGAAGCAAGTGACATGTATTTGCTGCTGCTTTCAGAGCCTCAACTTCAACAGGATGTATTAAAATGAAGGACAGGATTACCCACGGGGAATAATATAGGGTTGCCAACCTCCAGGTGGTGCCTGGAGATCTCCCACTGTTACAGCTGATCTCCAGGTGACAGAGATCACTTGGAGAAAATTGCCACTTTAGAAGGTGGACTGTAGGGCATTATACCCCACTGAAGTACCTCCCTTCCCAAACCCCACCCTCTCCAGGCCCCCCCCCCAAATCCCCAGTATTTCCCAACCTGCAGCTGGCAACCCTAATTGGGAGAGGCTTGAAAGCCCATTGGATATAATGGGAGCCAGAAATGCCAATTGACTTGCATGGGCTCCACTGAAATAAACTCAAATAAATTACAGCACAAACAAAGTTGCAGTGAAAATGCAGAATGGATTTTGAATGAACATCTCTGGACTTTTACTCCTAATAAACTGGGCATTTTTCTATTGCTTCTGTTTAATTTTTTTGAATGAACTAGCATGGCCCATGAGATCTAATTTTTACATTCTGCAATCACATTCCTTTCCATGTCATAACAAAACACTCTCCAATAATTACCAGTCTTTGCACTGGTACCTACAGCATGTGCTATACTGGAATTCGAAAGTGATTTCGTGAGAACCATTTGATGATATTGTTAGATGTGGACCTTTGAAGCTGGATTTTAAAAAAACCAACTCATCCCAGCCTTAACCTAGCCTCATTATACAATCTTGGCCAAGCCACTGTAGCTTTTTCTAGCCTATCTCTCAGTGTTCTTTTGAGATATTTATTTGCTTCATTTATACCCTGTCTTTCTTCCCAACAAGGACTCAGAATGGGAAAGGGGGCCCAGTTATACTCCCTCACCCAGAGCCTACAAAAACCTGGTTGTTGGTTGTCCCAAGCAGTGTTCCCTCTAAGCTGAGTTAGTCTGAGCTAGCTCGCAGTTTTTTAGCCTCCGGCTCAGACATTTTTTGTCTTAGCTCAGGAAGGAGGGCTCCAGAGCCAAATAACTTTTGCAGCAGTCAAATCGCCCGCTCACAACTTTAATGCCAGTAGCTCAGAAAGTAGGATTTTTGCTCACAAGACCCCATAGCTTAGAGGGAACATTGGTCCCAAGCAGAAAGGGCTGACTTTCATCATATGCAGCAGAAATACTGTAGAGCTCAAGCCTTTTGGAAAATGGTATCTGACACCATATTAGTGGTAACGCAGGTCAAGCTCCCTTTTACACCTGAGACATTTCTATTAAGTTATATTGTAATGTTTTAAGAATCATGTCAAGTGATAATGTTAAATATAGCAATGAGGGTAGTTTTTGTACAATACTGGAAATCTCAGTCTATTCCTAGCAAGAGTGAGTGCTTGTTAAAGGATTGGGATATGATGAGGATGATCAAACTGACAACCTTCCAGAAATTTTAAAAAGTCATAGAGATGTTTGTTGGTGACCTATATTATTCTGTATCGAGAAAGAACTGATGAATTGACACTGCAATTAATGTTTATTGTTTCAAGGTTTTATAAATGTATTGACTGAACATTTCAGAAAATTAACACAAGAACATAAGAAGAGCCCATCTGGATCAGACCAATGGTCCATCTAGTCCAGCATCCTGTCTTACACAGTGGCCAGCCAGTTCCTCTCTGGGGGCTGTCATTCCAGTCTCAGAACAGTCTATCTGGACAGCCAACAACAGGAGTTAAAAGCATTTCATGATCAGCTGGTAATTCTTCAAGTAGCCTAATACAGAGGCTGTGCTAGAAGACTGAAAAACTATATGGGATTCAGAACAACATAGCTTTTGTTTCTTTCCTCAGGAAAAGGAAGGCTTCTTGCTAAAAAGATCTAGAAAATTACAAAACAGCAGCTCAAATCCAGTCGGTTCCAAGTTGATTTCCTTTTACATTGCTATTTTAGCATGATACAGTCAATCTTTTGTGAATGTTTCATGAGGGCCAAAATACATGTGATGCTGTTATTAACCCCATGAGGGAAAATAAAGGTACACATGAAGTCGTACTTGCATCATGGGCTGGGTAATGTACAATTTTACATGGAAGCAGTAGATTTCATGTGTGTGAAATGTTAATACATGATAATTGCTTTAATTGTATAGATTCCACAGAAGCCCTTCTCCCAAATTTGGGAAATGTAAGTGACTGAGAGGGATCTCCCATTTCTCCCAAATTCTGTCAGAACTAGGGAGAATTCAGAAGCAGCCCTAGTTATACCTCTGCAGGAAGGGTGCTGTATAGGTTCAAAATATGTAAATTTAGAGTGGAGGGGGGAGGAAATCACCTGCACAATTATGTTTCCTTCTTCTCATGATGAGATTCTTGTTCTTCTATGCAATTTAACATAGAAAAAATAGAGATATTACATATATGTGCATCTAGAACAGGAATTGTCAGACTTTACTTGCCACAAGTCTTGTCAACTGATGAGGGGAAAAACAACTGGAGGAGCCCTCATTTCTAGTGTCATTATCGTTACCTCCCTAAAGGAGCCTGTTTTATATTAAGCAAACGGTATGTGAGTGTGCATGCACAGACCCATGTATTAAAGCCTACAGCTTCCTGGTGATTGAGATAAAACTCCCTTCTCACTTTTACCGTTTGTGAGTTCCAAACATATATTTCCTGACTACAAGATTACTCTGGAACTGTTCACTGTCAAATTCACATAATAGACCCATTGTTTAGCTCCCAAAATGTAGAGCTCACAGATCCACCCACTGCACACCTACTGCTTTGAATCCAGGCAAGCGAATGGTTAGGAAGTGACCCTGAACAAAACAGGAAGGAAAATGATGATGGATGGCTTGGTTGTGGAGAGGATTCCTCCATGGAGACAGAGGTGGCCTCAGTGATTCTGGGGCCCTGGGCAAAAGTCTAGGACCGGACCCCAGAATCACTGCCAGCTCCCGCACAGCTGGGCCAGGCTTAAGAAAGGGGCAACATCCCATGCAAGGCAGGCAGACGTGTGTGGTGACATCCAGATGCGGCACGTGAGCCCCAGGGGGGAGGCATGCATACACAACACCTGACTGTTCTTTTTGGTCCCCCTTGTTTGGCCTGCCTCAGTCTTCAGCCTGGGGCAGCTGCCCCAGATGCCCGTAGGTAAGACTGCCTCCTTCATGGCTCTGACTGTTGGCTTGTTCCTCACTACAATACACCTCCAGGTACTCAGCTTATTTTGTTTTCTGGCTGCCATACTGTGGCGTTCTTAGATATAGCAGTGGCTATAAACAACTTTTTAAAAAATAAAAATAAATAAGAACATAAGAGAACATAAGAGACGCCAATGTTGGATCAGGCCAAAGGCCCATCCAGTCCAACACTCTGTATCACACAGTGGCCAGAAATACCAGTGCCATCAGGAGGTCCACCAGTGGGGCCAGGACATTAGAAGCCCTCCCACTGTTGACCCCCCCCCCCCAAGCACCAAGAAGACAGAGCATCACTTGCCCCAGAGTCCCTATCTATACCTTGTGGCTAATAGCCACTGATGGACCTCTGCTCCATATGCTTATCTAACTCCCTCTTGAGGCCATCCATGCTTGTAGCCGCCGCCACCTCCTGTGGCAGTGAATTCCATGTGTTAATCACTCTTTGGGTGAAGAAGTACTTCCTTTTATCCGTTCTAACCCGACCGCTCAGCAATTTCATGGAGTGCCCACGAGTTCTTGTATTGTGAGAAAGGGAGAAAAGTACCTCTTTCTCTATCTTCTCTTTCCCATACATAATCTTATAAACCTCAATCATGTCACCCCTCAGTCGTCGTTTCTCCAGGCTAAAGAGCCCTAAGCGCTTTAACCTTTCCTCAATCTCTTTTTGTAAGCCAGTATGGACTCCCCATCGCCAGCATTAGCCCAAGTAAGCTTTCTTCTCTCAGCCACAAGGCCATTCTCTCCCCCTGGAGCAAGTGAAGGGACTGAGGTCAGTTGCAATAAGGGGAGTGTTGCTCTGCAGAAGTAATCAAGAGCAAAGACTAAACCTCTCCAGCAAAAAGTGGCTTCCTATTGAAACTGATGACCGAGAAAGGTCTCTGCTTACCAGAATTATCAGCCTTCACACCAAACACTTGGACTTCGCATAGTGTGAGGTAACTCACTCCAGGAATGGTAATTGTTACATACTTTCCTCGCATTCCTTCACACTCATAATTCTGGGTTTCTCCAGCACCCACTGAGGTGACTGTTGCACACCTTGAAAGGAAACCGATTCATATTTATTAGTATCAAGTGGTCATTTGAAGAACATCATCAGCAACAATTTAATTTACTTCGAAAGAATGAAAGGACATGGGTCCAGCATACAAGACTATAAACCCTGGTTTTTATGGGGCAAAGTCTGGAATATTTCCTTATCCATTCCATTTTCTTCCCCTGTGCCTTATTTCTGGGAGTTCTTAGAGAACATCAAACCAGCAGTTACCTGGGATTTGTAGAGCCTCCTTCCTCCAAAGAGTTCCCGATCCGGATTTCAGCACTATTGAGCCGCCAAGCACAACAGTCTTCTCGATTGGTGAGACTTACGCTGGATACATTAAACTCTGCCTTCAAGTCCACGGTCCACCATGGATTACGGTCTAAATTTGTGTGCGTGCATGATCTACGCATGAAGTCAACTGATGTAGACCCATCAATGGCATTCTCTGCAAGCCCAAGTCTGTTTAAGGTGCTAGACTGGGATGCTGTACCTCCAAGGGCCACGTTGGGGACTACAAGGGGGGAAAAGTTGCTTTTAAACTACTAAACAACAACAACAATTCAGAAAACCAAGGAAGTGAATTCTCAAATATTTATCCAAAAAGAGGGGGTCCCACATGGACCTGGAAGGGAGGGGAAATCCCTCTCTATCCCCCAGAGGCCTCTGCTTTCACCCCCTTTTGCTCCAGTTCTGTTTCCGTCCTCCATCCATTTAGTCTCTGCTTCTTCTCCCCCTCCAAACTCTTTCCTCCCCTTGCTGATATTTCTTCCTCCCCATCACCTTGCCCCCCTGCCATGCTCTTTCACCTCCTCACAACCTATGCAATTTTCTCCTTTCCCCGTCCTCTCCCTGCTCCCCCATC